TGTTTTTAGTCTCTGATTTTTGTGTGAAAAATGGAGAAACAGAAAATTGTAGGTAGAAGCAAGAGAAATGTAAACGATTGTTACGTGTTGAAATTGAAATAATTTTGAAACTGTTAAAACCGGGATGAGATGAAAGAATGGGATTCAACACTATTGTAGATATTACATCTCAGAGATTAGAAAAGGTATGGTCATAACGTATGAAAATGGAGAATGGAAAAGTTAAACAAAAATAAATAAATAAATAAAAATGACGCCATTTTTTCTCTTGTACAGTAACTTGGGATTGGTTTACTATTCATTCTACAGTAGCTACTACTTCCCCCTTTTAATAGAAGTTAGATAGATCCATTTTATTTCTTAAACAAGAATATAAGTTAAATACCCAAGCAACTTGGAACGTTTATTTAAACCAATTTTGTTGTTGCTAAAGAGCTAGAGACCTAACCCAAAAAAACAAGGAAATGTTTTGTTGGGTTTCAAAGTTTAAAATTTTCTTTTGAGGCCCTTTCAAGCTGAAGGCCTTAGGCAATGGCCTTGGTCACCTTGGACTAGGGCAGGCCCCTGACTAGAATAGTTATTTTTGTACTACTCTAAAGGTTTTGAAATTCCTACCTGCAATAGATTTATATGAGATTAATATAGGGAAAATTAGGCATAGTACTTTAAAAAATTAATTAATTTGATTAATGTCATATTAACTAATTAAATCATATAATTAGCGTAATAAATACTTTCTAGAATTACAAGACCACTCAAAACCCAAATCAATAGTTCCTATTCTAGAAAATTCTCAAAGAGAAACCCCCCTCATCTACCACTTCACTTCTCCCACACCGTCAATCAATTCCCCTAGTTTTTTTTTCTCTTGCACAGTGTTTTTTTCGTTTCAAGTTTCCAAGTAGATTCCTTTGAATTAGTTGACTGACTATACCATCCAAAGTCAAATTTTGACACCACTTCAAGCAAAGTTCGACAGTTCATCATCGATAAATTCATCGATGTATATAAAAATATTTCCATAATTTAATTGTAAAAACCGACACACAGTCACACAAAAGCCTAAAGGTTTATGCATCGACAATGCCAACAGACCAAATTTATGCACCACACACTACCCATTTCGCCTTCTCTACAGATCATGCACACGTGTGCCTCTCTCTATATATACTTAAATAGAGATCACGTGTATTCATTTAAATCTTATCTTCAATATATCATTTTTCAAAACCAAGCATCATGTCAAATTTCTTGACACAATACCTCATGGGTAAGCAAAGTAATACATTGAAAACTGATTATGCAACTATAGCAAAAGGTTAAGAAGTCAACTTACTATTCGTCCCCTTTTCAAGAACGTGCATCACGTTAAATTTCTTGACATGGGCTCTCATTAAGAAGTAAAGGTTTATAGTGAGAATGATTTTGCAACTACAATAACAGGTTAAGAAGCCAACTTACACTTTTTTGAGTCCACTAACTTATTTAAGGAATCTTTATTTATAAAATCTCTATTCACACTAATAGAAATAATTAGAATTTAATCTTTTGTCCCCTCGAGTTGAGATTGAGACCTAAAATTAATGGCTGGCACTTGAGAATAAAGTGTAATAAATCGCAAATAAACGTATATTTTGTGCAATGAATCTGATAAATTTTGTAATGAATTTCTGCGAGATATATGAACTTCAACGGGGTAATCCTGCACATGTAAAAGAGTTAAATGAGTATTTGGCCAGAAATATTTCTCATGGTTTTTAGCTACGTTTCATGATTTTCGAACATTTATAGTATCTTCTTCAACTCATTGTTAAATTTCATAGTACAATTAAAAGTTTTAGGAGCACCCATATTAACTGTTAACTTTTATGTAGTTTCTTGCTAATTTTTTAGAGTGCTCTTATGTATTTGGTGTCCGTCCATGCAGTTTATTTTGCCCAATAAGGGAATCATTCTGTATTATAACTGTGACTTTGGGGTGAGATAAATGCTTTCTCTATGTTAATATTGATTTGAACATTGTAAGCTTCTGTAATAAACTTTATGTGAATGGTAGATTGCAAAGTAAAAAAACGGGAATATGTTTCACCATTTTTTTTTTAAATTTCTGTTACTTCTTTCGGTGTTTGTCAATTTTTATTTTTTTTTATTTTTACTTTTATCACCTTTTCGAGTTTGTCACTTTACTTGAATTTTCATCGATTTTTTTTTAATGTTTGTCACTTTTTTTTTTTAATTCTTTCCAGTGGCAATTTTTACTATTTGTTACTTTTTTGAGTTTCTATCATTTTTTAAGTGACAAACAATAAAGAAAGTGATACTCAACTTTAGAAAGTGACTATTAGTATTTAGTAGGTAGACTGTGTAACTTTTTAATAAATCATTTTTTTTTTTTTTGAAATTTTGTCACTTTTTGAGTGTTTGTGACCTTTTTATTGTTTGTCTCTTTTTTATTGTTCGTTACGCTTTTTTTTAATTTTCACCACTTTTTTGGATTACAAACATCAATTTTTAATAGAAGTATGTTACTTTTTAATAAAAATTTGACACTTAACTTTACAAAGTATTTTTTACTTAAAAAATACTTTTTATTTGATTTTTCAAAAGACATCTAATTTTAGAGATATTTTTGTAAGTTGCCTATTAGTATATTGAGCAAATAAAGCTACTTGAACATGGCCAATGACTTACTAAACCTCTTCTATTTTACATGTTATCAGTAAGAAAACTGTGTCATTTAACGTCAATCCATTAGCAAGATTGATTATCATTTTTTCAGCAGTCGAAATTTTGGTGTATAATTTCAGTACAAGAACTGCCCAACCTATCGAAGTGGAGGAATTACCGCCCCAGTGCATATAGACATTATCGGTGTTGGAGGTTGTTCTTTGAAGGATATGTAGACATGGAAATATGACCACTTCATCGTGTTTCAATCTACACTACCATAAAAGAGAGAATGAGAATTTATTGTTTATTTTTGTCACACTCGTTTTCACACTTAACTGGTTTGGGAACTGGTTTGGCAACAGGAAATATCCTATTCAACAATACTTTAGGACTCTTTCTTCTAATTCTCATGCTATTAACTATCAATCATATCTTATATATTTAAATTTTTAAAATTATATTAATAAACAAAATTATTGTAAAAAAAAAAAAAAAAAACGTATTCTCTCCGTACATTGAGAAAAAAATTTACGTCATACCACATAATTTTACTTGAGTAAAATGATGTATTGATAAAATTGTTGCGAAAAAAATAATAAATAGTAATAAAATAATTAATTTTAAAAAAAAACGACTTATACGCATTTTTTAACACATACGTTTAACGTTCATTTAACTATTTTCGATATTCATTTAGATCATTCGATATATCGATGATATAGTTCTTGAAATGAGTTTCGAGAGAATGTAAAATATTTATTGATTCGACTATCGTACAATCGTCAATGAATTTTTAAAGTTAGCTTATTATCGAAAATTTTGAAATATAGTTTGAAAATGCCTATTTTAATGTCCTGTAACATTTGCTACGATTAGTCGTTTTACGCACCGTTAAAGACGTGCAATACTATGCCGCGAGTACTTCAAAATGATATTAAGAATGTAATATTTCGACTTCATTTGATATCCCGTAATGAACCTAAAAATAACACAAAAACATAAGAAAAAAATTTGCATAAACCTCTGTTTTTATTACTTTTAAATAACTTGAAGCGATTAGTTTACTTATAAGTAACTTTTTACGTTCTAGATAGTTTAATTTTTTTATTAATATTTAATTTTAAAAACTAAATATATATAAATATTTATACTAAAAAAATTTTAAGTTCACATTTTTTTTTTTATATAAGTAACTTTTGCAATTATAAGAGAATGAAAGATTAATATTTTTTTTTTACCTATAAGTAGTTTTTACAATTATAAGTTTTTTTTTTTAAATAACTTGAAGTGATTTTTTTACTTAGAAGTAATTTTTTATCTTTTAGATAGTGTAATCTCTTCTTTTATTTTTAAATAACTTAACCGGTTTGGGAATTGGTTTGACAATAGAAAAAATTCTATTAAAAAATATTGTAGGAATTTGGTCACTCGCCATTGTCCACTGCAATATTTCTCCCTTGTTTTGAATCTGACACACCATGCTCTTTCTCCTAATTCTCACGCTATTAACTATCAACCATATCTTATATATTTAATTTTTTAAAATTATATTAATAAACAAAATTTTTGTAGGTAAAAAAAAAAAAACATATTCACTCCGTGCATGGAGAAAAAAATTTACGTCATACCACATAATTTTTCTTAAGCAAAATGATGTATTGAGAAAATTGTTGCGAAAAAATAATAAATAGTAATAAAATAATTAATTTTTTTTTTTAAAGAAAAACGACTTATACGCATTTTTAAACACATACGTTTAATATCTGTTTAACTATTTTCGATATTCATTGAGATCATTCGATATATCTATAATATAGTTCTTGAAATAAGTTTCGAGAGAATGTAAAACATTTATCGATTCGACTATCGTACAATCGTCAATGAATTTTTAAAGTTAGCTTATTATCGAAAATTTCGAAATATGGTTTGAAAATGCCTATTTTGACGTCCCGTAACATTTGCTACGATTAGCCGTTTCACGCACTGTTAACGACGTGCAATACTATGCTGTGAGTGCTTTAAAATGATATTAAGAATGTAATATTTCGATTTCGTTTAATATTCCATAATAATCCTGAAAATGAACATAAAAACATAAGTATATTTTTCTAAAATGTAAAGAGTTACAAGTAAAAAATTTGCTTTAAGTTTTTTAAAAGTTATAAAAAAACTGAAAATTGAAAAAAAAAAAAAAAAAAAAAAAGAAAAAAAAAAAAATTCCATGCACGGAAAAATTGAAAAAGAAGGAAAAGAAAAAATTCTTCGCATGGAGCTTTGCTAAATCCTCCAATATCTTAAAAGACGGGATCCAATTTACTGTTCATTTGCATTTTCCCCTCACAGTTCACTGTTCATTTATGAAGACAGTTGTGGACAAAAAAAGGACATTTCTCTATGCCATAATTGTTGACTGGGGGACTCGGATTTCGACGTTGGGTAGCTTCCAACATACGCTCTCTCTTTTTCTCACTGTACATCAGCCAAATATCTACTATTCTTTCTATTCAATTTTTGTGAAAGATTTTCCATCTCACTATTTCACTCTTCTTTGACACAAACCCTGGAAATCGGCTGCAACATCTCCACTCCTCAACCGACGACAAACACCATTTTTGGTAGTTCCTAGCTCTTCAACAGCTTGAAACCATAACAAATTGTGAACTTTTCTTCCTTTCAAAGTTTGTTTCACTCAAGATGCGCTAAGGAAGCCGCCAGACGTGTTCATGGGAGCCAATCGAAACGACAACGTGCAGGAGGTAACTCGAAAGAAATAATTTTTTTAACATAGGTTCCTAATTTGTTGGGTTTGGTGTAAATAACAGATTCATTTGTTACCCAATTGAATGTTAGAAAAGTTGTGGACGAATTGAGATGGTCATGCAGGAACAATTATTTGGAGTTCTCGATCTCATTATAATCCTATGAGTTATCTTAAGTGCTCTATAATGTTTAATTCATATGATAATTAAGCAAAGAGATTACGTATGTAGATTATCTTCTTAATGATAGCTAATAGGTTCTGTTGGGATGCTTTTTTTGGTATAATTTTTTAACAAATAGAGCTTGAAAGAAATCACATTGGGATGATCCATCAAGCGCATTAACTACAATTACTATTTTTATAGCACCTATCTTGCGGAACCTTCTTTATGGTCACAGTCTGTCCAGTTTGAAAGCATTTTGCCTACCAAAGAATAATGGCAAACCAGGTGTTCCATAAATGAAGGTAAAATTATGGGCATTGTTATGATGTCAGATGAACAGCTGAAAAACCATTCCAAATGATCCTATTTTTCCATTTTTGCTAAGTGGCGTCCCCTATTTTTCTTTATGGTGTGTTTGTTCTTTCACTGCTGCACGTCACTAAGGTTTGTTGTAATCTAACTTTAAAAGATTGAAAAGTTTAAAAGTAAGAATTAATTGGACTTCAAATGGACGTGAAGTCAGATAGAGATAGAATAGTAGTTGAATTTGACTGTAAAAGATTTTAAAGTAAAAAAATAAAAAAAAGAATTTGACTTGAACTGGATGTGAATTCAGAGAGAGAATGGGACGACCAGGAAGTACTACTCACTCATATTATGACTCGTTTATATTCACATACCAAAGATGCGCTAACAAAGCATACAACATTTGAAGATTAAAAAGAAGTGCTACAGACTACATGTTTCAATGCATTGGTGCCTCAAGAGCTATAAATCAATCATTTAAACATAGGTATATTCTTTTTTCATGAAATATAAATTATCAAGCATATACATACACCATTATGTTTGCATATGTATCGTGTATGTGCATGCATGTGTATGATTCTAATTTGTGGTGTATTTGATATGAATATAATCTGATTAGGTAAATACAGTTTGGTAAAAGTTTCGTGTGCATTTTACTAAAATTTGTAGTTAGACTAGCATATATGAGGATAAATGTTGTTCTTTCTTGCTAACTGTTCACAAAAAAGATAAATAATGACTACAATATTATTATTTATTTATTTATTATTGATAATGAAAGAGAAAGCCTTCACAAAAATACCATTTTTTAAATTAGCTTATGTTTAGTTAACATAAAGCGAATCTACCTTTTTTGTTACTTATATGAATTTTCTTGTAACTTGTAGGTTAGTATTTCTAATTATAATGATCAGCTTAAGGTATTAATCTTTTCATTCTTGAATGAATTGATAACACAGCAACTGAGGTTGACCTATTAACTATTAAGCGTTCCTTTGCAGATGGGATTACTATTACTACATCCAGCTATGTAGCAATTGGGTACCATGGTCAGACTTGTAACTCTATGTACATTCCATTTTAGAATTTATATAGTTGACAAACACGGCATGGTCTGTAAGGTGGACGTGGATCTGATAGTAATGGACGGTGTTAAATAAGGAAGTTAAAGTTTTGTGTATTACATTTTCAGTTATGATCTAATATTATATTGCTACAAACATGCCATCAGGGCAATGAAAAGAAGGCACTTGTTTCTGCAATGTTATTGAAGAAGAGAAGATGATGGAACTTAAGGTACTTTGTAACCGATAAAATCGACATGAGTTTGATAACTTTTCAGTTACTATTTTCATGTATTGTTCTATTACTTTTGTTGCAATTATTCTCCACCAATCAGTGTTCCAAAAGACTCCTAAACATGGATATGTTCGTACTCGTCTTAAAAGTAATGTATGCTTGACCGGGGAATTCTGAATGCCTTTATTCTACCAATAATTTCAATGGTCTCTCGTACAGACGGGTCGTGTATCATAAGAGTTGAGACACGAGAATCTGAAACGAAATTGTAAAAAGATGATTATTGCATCTTCAGTAATTCTTTGATGTAAGATATTTAGTTAATTGGACAGTTTCTCATTTTCTTTCTCTTCTAACCATTCCATAGGTCTTTACATGTTATTTGCTTTCTCATGAGGGTGCTGTTTGAGAAAATTTCTCAAAAGATAATTCAACTACTTCCAAAGAAATTGAAAGAAGAATAAATGATAAATGGAGAAACCTTAACTCATAGTTTAATTCTTTGGGATAAGGTGCAAATTGACACAGATTAAGTGAAAATTAATCTTAGTTAAAATCTCAAGCAAGAGCTTCGAGCATAATTGACTAAGCTTAGAAAGTTCACAATAAGAAAGTTTTAAAGTAAGCATTTGTTTATTGGTCAAAGTTTGAACAAACTTTAAGTAACTCTTTTACATAAAAAAGGAAGGAAAAAGTAAGCTATCAAAATATATTTGGAAACAAAAACTTAAAGTAAGAACAATTTATCTCACGGCATAAATGATCCTGAATATATCCTTTATTGAAGTTCAAATTTACTGTCAACATTATTTGTTCAAGAGTATCTTGCGGATGCAGGATGGTAACAATTATGAGATAAGTAATATCTTATTTTCCTTACAAGTTACAACTATGGAAGTTTGTTGAGGCTTGTGCCTAACCTAATATTAGCTGTAAGGTTTTTTTATGAAATAATTTTTAAGTTTTTACATTGTGATAAGCAGGAGGTGGATACATGATAACTCATCCAAATCAAGGTAAAGAATGTGTTTTAAAACACATGCACGTTATAGATTGGAGGATCTGGACATCCTATCTAAGGAAAGCGTCTGCAAGATCTAGCTATCTGTATGCATTTACGATGCTTTTGGGATTGGTCTCTTTATTTCAAATTAGTTGTTCTCTATTGCTTCAAGCAAAATTCGCAGGAAGACATTTGAATTTTAGTTGGAATGATTATAAATATTATTTTGTTTTGTTAACAGGTTATATGACCATATTTCATTATATTGAACCCATGAACCTCAGTTTTTAAAATTTGTTAGATCTGAAGAGGGATGTTATTGAAGGTTCCAAGGACTATTTTAGTTCTACCAACTTTTACTATTGTCAATTTACTGTAATTCCTTTAATTCAGTTTTTAATTCATAATTGTTTTTGTACTTATCAAATGTCTATATTAGCTCCTACAGCTTATTAGTTCTTACGAGATTTTAGATTTCGTGTTCCTTTCTCTTGTTTAATGTTGTGTAGCTTCTGAATCAGCTTTTGGTTTGTCTTATGATTACTCAGCTAACATTGAAGTAAAACAAAATAAAAATAAAAAATAAATAAATAAATCCTTTTGAATTGGCTTGTTATTAATTATTCATAAGGCATTTTATATTTCCATTTTCTATTAAATTAGTCATATAATTTGTTGTGTTTTCAGTGCATGGCTGAATGCACCTCAGCATAGAGGTGGGATTGTAAAAAACCCTACATTTGATTCAGATTTAAATGAAAGGACTGTGTTTCCAAAGGGAAAAATTGGAATTGAGAAATCTAAGGGGGAACAAAATCATAGTAGCAACTAGCAGAAGCTCACCAAATAATAGTTTCTCGCAAAACTTTCATATAAAAAATGACCTTCGGCATATGTTTTCTGGTAAATATATATGAACTACAAGATTTTCCATTTGTATTGTAATAACTACTTGTATTGTTCATTCAAAATTATTATATAGCCTGGGTACAAATCAGTGAAGGAAAAGAGGCCGTAGCAGCATTCTTGAAAATCAAGGATGAAAAAAGTATAGTTGTTGGTTCAGTGATGTCTAAATCTGGATGTTGGTCCATGCTTAAAGGAGGATTCACAGTTGATCAGTATATGAAAGCCCAACTCTATTTTCTGGTATAGCTTGAATAATCTCTCACATATTGGGTAGTGTATGATATGAACTTATTTTCTTTTTCTTTTTTATATTTTTTGTATAAAATTATCTCCCTTTTTTGTTATTTTATCTTCTGCAGAGCAACAATACCTATGTTAGATTATGGTTAGACAATGTTTCTTTGAAATCATTTGCAAAAGAGCAATGGAGTAAGCAACAAGAGAAGAGCACCCTAGAGGTACGTAATTCTACGCCTTACTATTCATTGATTGATCATTACTCTATATCCAATGTTGTTATTTTATATCCCCTTCTACATAAGTTCCTTATTTTGGTGCAGGATCGGAAAAGAAAAATAAGAATCAATGTTTACAGCCACGAAGGAAAGAAGCTACAAGGTTTAAAAATACCACAAACCAAACGAGGCCCTGTGTTTATGCTTGGTTGTGCAGTTGCAAAACCTCTGATAGATATTAAGGCTTACCAAGAAGGTTCGCTACCCAATTCACTGCATCATCCTTTAATAATGAAATGAAATGGTACTACACGGAGGAGTTTCAAAATATGGAAAACTACAAGAGTCCCGAATGCCATGATTTCTTTCTTAAGAAACCATGGGATTTCAACTCGTGGCCACAACATTCTTTAGGATAAACCAACCATGAATATAGATTGGGTACGAAACTTAACCCTTCTTGCTGCAGTTGTTCGTAAAATGGGATCTATAATGTCTGGATAGAAGTATCTCTGTAATATTTGCAGCCTGTTCTCTGGCCATTTTTGTTGAAAATGATCATAACACGTGCATATACTGGTGTAGTTACCACAGTAGGATAGATTACATAAGCATATGAAAGTGTAATCGTATGCTATCTTAAATGGTTCCAAATCATGTGACTTTTCCAATGTTTTAGTGTGATTCTGAATCTTGTTGGTGGCTACTGGAGTTGCATAATTTTAAAAAGGTATTTTTTTGGTAATGTTTGAGCTACCAAACTATTTTTAACAAGTTTGCAGATGCAATCTGAATTGTGTAGGCATGGATCTTTGTAGAGTAATCAATACTTCCTTACTGTAAAGTTCGTGCTGACATTCCAAAACCAAAGGTTTGGTTTCCCATCTTTTCTGTCATCTGAAGCATCTTGTCTTCTTGTGGTGCAGGAACTGTTTGCCCGTCTTGTGGTGCTTTTACGCAATCCTTCGGCGGAGGAACAGTTGGCTACTCAGATTCTAACTGTAATTCTTTTTTATCTTTGTTTTGTTGCACAAAAGTTAAATATTTACTAACTTGTAAATGTAATTGTATAATATTACTCAATTCATCTGCGTTGTTTGGCGGATCAAATGTTCGATCATTAGTCTTAAGTTCAAGGAGCAATAGCAGATGAGCAAGCTTAGGCCTGTGGAATATGCGTTGAAAGAGCTTTTGTCACTTCACTTTAGATGCACTTTAGATGGAAGGACCTATTTCCATGATAAAATCTAGAGTATAAGACATTATTCCTAATTGAAGAATGCACATTTCCTATTGTTGATCCTACCGCATGTACCATACAATTTTACTTCTTGATCCACAAGAAACGTAGAACATCTAATATTGTTCTTATCTACTACTGTATTGTGTTATTAATTCATAAAATTTATATTTAAATAATTGAAGTGGTGATCCGAGAATTTAGATATTTTCTTTTGTGTTCAACTTCTCAAAACAAGTCCAATTTCATGCATGATAATCGTGTGATTTGAAATTTTAAATGTCTTTCGTTTTATGACTAAGAGTAGGTTCATAGGTACCCTTTTATCTCTTGGAGAACTGAGTTAATGATAGTCCAATATTGAACCTAATACTTTTAAGGTACAATTTAGCATATTAAGTACATTTCTTTTATGAGCAGAAATTATGATAAACAGGAATTGAATGTAGACAATGACATATTCATCCATAGTCTAAAATACAAAATTCATATGTTTACATCTACCTATCAACCTTTGTTCAATCAACAAATAGATTTCTTATCAATTCTTAACATTGAACACACTAACATTAACTTCATAATATCTCAACCCGTGCAAAAGCACGGGCAAGGACTAGTTTTTATAGAAGGTGAGATATTTTACGAGATGTTGCACTACGATAATTTTTTGGTAATTTGACTAATTAATTCACTAAGAGAGCTAGCATGAGACTACATATTCTTTAAAGTTAGAAAGAGAAATATAGAAAAGAAAGCAAAGAATATAAATCGAGATAACCATTTGAGTTATTTTAGAAAAGAAAGCAAAGAACAAAAATGGGAATAATAATCATTTGAGAAAATAAAGCAAATAATATAAATCGAACAGTCATATTCTCCAAAGTTAGAGAGAGAGAGAAAAGGAAGCAAAGAATATAAATTGAGATAACCAAAAGAAAATAGAGAATAGAAATTCGGACAACTATTTTCTCTAAGGTTAGAGAGAAAAAGAGAAAATAAAGCAAAGAATAAAAATTGAGATAACCAAAAGAAAATAGAGAATAGAAATTCGGACAACTGTTTCTCTAAAGTTAGAGAGGAGAGGAGATAAGAAATCAAAGAATATAAATTGAGATGACCATTTGAGAGAAGAAAGCAAAATAAAAAATTTGGATAACCAATATATAAAAAAAAAAATAATAAAAAAAAATAAAAAATAAGAAGCATAGAATGGGAATTGGAATGGGACCATTTGAGAAAAGAAAGCACAGTATCGAAATTGGGATAAATAGTCAAAGCGCGTATGGAAAGTATCGAAATTGGGATAAATAGTCAAACAATTACAAACCGCGCATGCAGAACAAAAGTATCGGAATTGGAATGGAACCATTTGAGAAAAGAAAGCAAAGTATATCTCTCTCTTTCTCTTATCTCCAAAATCAACCAATCAACCACACACTACACGATTCCAAAGCAAGACAATGGATGTTGTTACCAGTGCCACCGTTCAAGCGACAGTGGAAAAGTTGCTTGCATCCGCCACTTCAGAGTTGAGTTTGCTGTGGAGTTTCAAGAAAGACTTAAGAAAGTTAGGCAGATCATTGAAAATGATGGATCTTTTCTTACAAGATGCTGAGAAACGTGAAGTTACCGATGAGGCTGTCAAACTCTGGCTCAAGAACCTTCGAGATGTTACTTACGATGCTGGTCATGTCTTGGATGAGATCAATTATGAAAATATGCGTCATATGGTGGAGATCCAAAGGCAGAATAAGATAAGGGAGTGCTTAAACGTCTTTTCGTTTACTCCTCCTTTGGCAGGGGCGGACCCACATGGGGTCATGTGGGGTCAAATGACCCCACAGTTTTCTGGA